TCTGTAATGGCTACTTCAAATAATTTCTCATTGAACTTTTGTCATGGTGTCACTCCTTAAAGATACTGCCAGTCCATGGAGTAGAATTATTTGCCTAATTTTGGGTTCATAGACATTGAGTTCTTCCCATTTGGGGGCCAGGAAGGGGGGCTGGTGTAGGCCAACATTCATTTAAATGAAAAGTTCCAGTTTTATTTCTAACGAAATTAACCTTCGTGCAAGCTATGAAGAAGTGGAAGTAGAATCATACCAAATAGCATTTGCTATTTTTCTTAATCTTTTTCAATTTTCTGAATATGGTTTTTATTAATTAATCATTAGCCACTAAAGTATAACATAAATTGTATAATTATAATTAGTTATAATTATATAAAATTGTTCATGAAGTTAAATTCATAATTTATAATTGCCTTGGTTAAGCTAATGGTTGATGCTATTGAAATCTCTGAAAGAAGTCTGAGCCGCACTGCTTGGTGTGCGCCTGCCATCTAGTGGCAAGACACGTTAATACCACCATAGAGATCCTAGAGGGCTTCAGAGGCCAACTTCGCCAGAGACAGTTTTTCGTACTTTATAATTTTCCCAGTGTGTTACCCAATCAACCACACATTTCTTAAGTCTTTGGAATTATCTTCCATTACATTCAATTACATTTCATGTTAACTTCAAACTATAAACATCTGTGAGGCAAAGGGTATCTTAGCATCACCTGTAACCACATTCCCTAAACCAGTTCCCTAAGACTGCTTTTATTTTACGTATGTCCAGAAACAATATGTGGTTTGGGCATGCTATTATTCTCCCACCAAGAATATTTTGGCCACTATAATAAAAGTGCAAATTAACACTAGAGTCACTGGTGTCATGGACTGCTGACTTATAGAAGGATTTTTTTTTCCCAAAAAGTGGTAAGTTTACTTTAAGAAAACATTGAAAGAGGATTATCCGTATTTTTGCAGACCATTCTAGGAAGGATGGGTGAAAGAGTACATCCAGATCTCATCTTCATTCCTTTCTGCCCTTGTAAATTTAGAAGACAGTATTTGTCACATACTATCCCCTAATAGCAACATCAATATAATCAATTTCTCACATAGCTGGGAGTAATAAAATTGACCTTACACTTCAAAGATGCAATGTTTCCCTCTAAGAACACTTTTAAAAGGAAAGAGAAACTATCAAGCAAGTGACCTAATAAAGGTTCTGGTAGGCGGTTTGACTGAAAAGATGACATAAGGATGGTACAGTAGAGGCAGATCGAATGGAGGTCCTAGAGACAGGGTGGGTCCATGGCTCCCCGAGCTTGGTTGCCATGTTATTCTTGACTCACACCACGAAAGGAAGTAAGTAAGAATTTTAATTTGGATCTGGACAAAGGAAGAAGAACTGGAGAATCAGTCATGATGACAGATAGATTTGAAATCTGGGGACTAAAGAGTCTGGGGGAGTGGTTCGAAGTAGATCTTGACTGGAGAGAAGAGAAAATCAAGTTTCCTTTGTGGGAAGAGGGTCTGATAACAGGGGTTTTGAAAATGTGGAGGTGAATGACTTTGATAAACTAAGTGGGTGGAGCTTCCAGACAGAGGCCTGTTAAGGACGGAATGACTGTTCTTAGGGTCTGGGTAAGACAGGTAAGGGGGTCTTTCTCCTCTTCTTGTATGCCCTCTTTGGCCCCCTGCCTGCCTGGCCATCCACTTTCCCTTACTGTTGCCCTCTCCCTCTTTAGCTGTGGCTACTCTTTTTTACATAAATGGCCATAGCAGTTTTATCAAAATTACTATATGAAATTCACAATTTGATGTAATTATTGAGTACCTAAAACTTGTGAGTTGAATCTGCTGTACGTCTAGCTAAAGAATAAGTCTTGGGGCACCTGGGTGCCTCAGTCGGTTAAATATCGGACTTTTGGTTTGGGCTCAGGTCATGATCTCAGGGTTCTGCGATCAAGCCCCATATTGGGCTCTGAGCTGGAGCATGGAGCCTGCTTGGGATTCTCCCTCTCCCTCTCCTCTCCCCTCACCACCCCCCCACCATGCCTCCCCTATCCCCCCCCCTTCTGCACATGCTCTCTTCTCTCTTTCTCTCTTCAAAAAAAAAAAAAAAAAAAAAAAAAAGACTCTAGTGAAATTTCTTAATTGTCTATGACCTTCAAATTGTTTTCCTGTTGATACAGTCTTAAATAAGGCAAAGGAAAAAAAAGTCAGAATCTTTCTATTCTCAAATTAGTTTATCTCCACTCTCATCAGAGCCTAATAGCTAGAGATTGGCTACTCACCAAAGAGCTTACATTTGTGCATGCATACCTATGCCTGCCTAATTAGAGCCTATGCAGAGATAAGTCTTGTCATCTTGCAGCTTTGGAAGTGATTTTTCCTGAGCTAGAAATATCTTTTTTTTTTTCTTTTCCCCAAGATAAGAGTGATACCCTTGACAAACTCAATCATAGTAGTACTCTTAAAATGGCTAAAAATAAGTTGCCGTTATTCCACAAATGTTTATTATAAGTGTGAATCCAGCATTTTAGGTAAGTAATAACAATGTAGTCTCCTTCGAAGATGTTACACCTGCGTCTTTTTCCGAAAGGATCAAAGATGTGGCAACTGTATAATGCTATTCCATTTCCAACGGAAGGCCTTGGTAAGACTTTCAGAAGAGGGGAGCATGTGCTACCCACACCACACTGGCACACTTTGCACTCTATTCCAGCGTTTCCATTTTGGGAAATGCGACTTCACTTTTCATACTTTAGTAGTCGTCAGTGACTTTCCATCACAGATTTGCTAGTCTGTGGGATTATGTCAGTCCTGGTACAGACTTTTATTTCTTGTTTTTAGATTCTTCTGGTTGGGAGCATAAGGTTGATATTCATGGGAAAAGTTGACGATTCCAGGGAAGTTGTGTTTTTATACTAATCTACCCTACAGGATATCAAATGAAGAGTATAAATTTCTGCACCAAAATAAAATGGTTTACTGGGACAGAAATATTCTTGTTTCAATTATTTAACAACCCACAGAAATTTGACTGGCATCTTCTATGCATTTTTTATTTTTTTTTTATTTTTTTTTTTAAAGATTTTATTTATTTGACAGAGAGAAACACAGCGAGAGAGGGAACACAAGCAGAGGGAATGGGAGAAGGAGAAGCAGGCAGGCAGCCCGATGTGGGGCTCGAACCCAGGACCCTGGGATCATGACCTGAGCCGAAGGCAGACGCTTAACGACTGAGCCACCCAGGCGCCCCCCTTCTATGCATTTTTTAATAGAAATGGGAAGAGGTTTGATGCCTGTGTGTCACACAGTAGCTACTTCAGGGCAGATTAGCTTGCTTTTAATCTAGTCGACAGAAAGATAATCTCAAAGACATAAGCGCTTAGATTTCTTTGAATTTATGCCACTCAGTACCTTTTTTTTCTTTCAATATGGTTGCTGTGTGGTGTGAACACATACACTCATTAATGTTAAGTGAAACGGAGCACACTATACATGGTAATTATGTATATAATTCAGATACAGTACATTTATTGAGGTGCTTCCATTTGGAAGCCAGTGCGTTCATCAGATGAAGGGAAAAAGGAAACAATCTCAAAAGCATTTGTATTTTTTCCGTTTCATCGATCATAAAACCAGGGCTTTGGCCGAACTACCTCTAGAACTCCTCCTCCCCGCCCCGGATTTTCAGCAACCACTTTGGAACCAGCTACACGCTAAATTTAGAATTGCCGCCACAATGGGGAAACATGGGCTGGGAAGAGCGCACGGGAGAAGCCCCGGACTCCTGTCAGGGAGTGGTCTTGTATGGTCACCGAGTAACCTGACAAAGGAGTTCAAATGCTCAGAGCAAGTCATCTGTGATTCCAACTCCGGAGATCTCTGGATTCACAATCATAGAGCTTCTTCCTCCTTCCACAGTCCCCGTCCACGCCAGAAGACACAACCCTTCTGAGTGGTTCATTCCCACTCTCCACCCCCGCCCCCCCCCCCCCCCCCCCCCTCCCCCCCCCCCCCAAAAAGAAACGTGGAGCAAAGTAGGCTTCGTCGCCCAAACACGACAATATAAGGTCTGGGAAATCGGCCCCGCCCTTGCTGCCCTCTGCCTGTTTACGAGGACCCACAAGTTGGAAGCGAGAATTTTCCAAGGTGGAGGCGGGGACACTGCCTCAGCGCCTGAAGACTTTGTAGTGGCGCATCTGTCGGGATGTCGCTCCCCACCTGCCTCGGCAGGCGAGGGGTCCCGAACGCCCCAGGCCAGCTTCCCCCCGCCACTCCGACTCCCTCCCCTCCCCCGCGTGCGTCTCTGCGCGAAGTGCGGCCGCTGCCGCTCCGGGACCGCTCGGAGTTGCGAGCGACGGCGAGGGCTTGGTGTGTGCGTGGGGGGCGCCCTCGTCCCCCGCCCGACGCCCGGAGCGAGCGCCACCGACCCGAGCCGCCGCGCCCGCCTCCTCCACTTTACCCCGAGTCCCGCTTCCAACGGGGAGGCGGAAGGGCCAAAGTGGGCACCTTCACTCCCACCTCGGGCGCCCCTGAGATACCCAGCGGCGAGGGGGCGCGGGGTCAGGAGGGGTCCCGGGGTGCAGGGCAGACGCCGGGAGTGCCCACAAAGCCCGCCCGGGGGCGCAGCATACCGCGCGGGTGGAGGCGGCCCGAGGCCGGAGGGGCGGGGACGGGCGGGGGCGGGGCGGAGGCTCCCGCCTCCTCCTCTCGATCCTCCCCCTCCTCTTCCTCCTCCCCCACCTCCCCCTCTTCCTCCCCCTCCTCCTCCTCCTCGCCCTCCTATCGCTGCCGCCGACTCCACCGGGCTGAGGAGCGGGGAGTCCGCGGCGCTGGCTTGGGGCTGCGGGATGGGGAGTTAGCGCCACGGCGGCGGCAGTGGCCGCAGCTCAACCGGCCGCCGCCCCCGGGTCTGTCCCGCCGGGGGCGCGGGGCGCGGCCAGCCCGCCCCGGAGCCAGGCCCGCGGGCGGCGGCGACGGAGAAGCTGGGCAGGTGGATGCGGCTGGAAGATGGCGCCCTCGGGCCCGGGCAGCGTTAGGCGGCGGTGCCGGCGGGTGCTCTACTGGATCCCGGTGGTGTTCATCAGCCTTCTGCTCGGCTGGTCCTACTACGCCTACGCCATCCAGCTGTGCATAGGTGAGTGCGCGCCCCGCCCGCCACCGACCCCCGCCGGCCCCCGGAGGGAGGGCATACACCTGTCAGCAGCCTCTCCGCTCGCCCCCCGCCCCCTACGCAGCCACCTCGACAGTCCCGGGACGCCGAGCGCCCGCCGCACCAGCGGCGCTTCCACCCTCCCCATCCCGGAGACCCCTTTGCGCTCCCCGTGCTGCCGGATGGCTTCGCGTCCGCTGCCGCCGCGGCCGAAAACAGCCTCCGGGCAGCCTCCCTCCACTCACACTCCCTTGCCTCCCCCTTACAACTCGGGTTACGGTGTCACCTCTACTCCACCGAGTACGCAGCCGAGCCGCCCCTCCGCCTTCCGCTATCCACCGCCACCCCAGCCACACCCCCTACCTAGGCTGGACCGCACCTGCGAGAACTACGGTCTCCGCCGCCTGCAGCCTCCGCGGAGAAGTGAGGCCCGGGGAGGCTGCGGTGGGAGCTGGAGGGTTGCATGCTGGGCCCAGGATTCGAGCTGCGCCAGACCCGCGCGGGGGATGGTGGCCTCGGCCTTCGGTGTCAGGGCTATCTTCTGCTGGTTGTCCTTAATCCACTTCTTGAAAATTTGTGACAGCGCTGTGGGGCGTTTCTGCTGCCTTGATGATTTGGGGATTGCCAGTTGTACACTTTCTAGTTAAAAAGAGGTGAAGGTGGATGAGCTATTAGAAAGTCTTTTCAAAGACATGCAATACGCAGGATTATCATTTAGACGTCGCAATACTAGAGGGGGAAAAAAGTGACTATGCGAGGTTTGGGGGGGGGGTTGTTTTGTTTTTTGTTTTTTTTGTTTTTGTTTTTCATCCAGAGAGCCAAGTGGCTCAAGTCCAAGTTTTAGGCTCCTGAATTGGTGGGTAGGGTACTGTCAATGTTAAAGACAGAAGAAGAAGAAAATAAAAGTTCAGTATGCACGATAGGGAATACAATTCTGTTCCTGAATGTAAGCAGAGGTTTGTGAAAGCTGACCTGTGCTATCAGAAACCGTGTTAAAACAGAAGATGACCTTTCTGCCAGTGACTTCTGATTGCTTTTTGTGTCTGGTGTTTTGCCTGAGAAGGTGTCTATGTTTTTGCCGTACCCAGCACCAGTTTTGGGTGGGACAAGGACAGAGGTTAAACAGTGGCCTGTTTAGTTGAACCTTATCAACCAAAGAATTTCAGAACTTCAGGACTCAGACATAGAGTCTTGTCTGAAACCGTCTTACCTCCAAATGTTGCTCCTTGTAAGAAACAGGTATCACAATAATACCTCCGAGTAATTACTGACATAACTTTCAAGAGAATTGAGACTGAGATATCGTCTTTAAGTGTGATAATATTATTGAATTTAGACATGATTTCAGGACAGAAGAAGTGAATCTGTTCTAGAAAAGGGTTGGATTGCACTAAAATCGTCAAGATGCAATATCTAAATATGTTATATTCAAGTCTTCCAAAATGTATAGAAAAAAGGTTTTCAGGAACATGTTTAATTTTTGTATTAATTGTTATTATCAAAACAGCTTGTCTTATTGAGATATGCTCTATAGGTTACATAACTACTAGAAACCTTCGTTGCATTGCATTGGTTTGCCCTCTTAAAAGCAGTGAACAGTTTCAATTATTGTAACTAGTACAAAAGAGGGAAGTCAGGGCAGGCATTTATTTTCCTATATTATCACATTAAGCTAAGAAGCTTGGCCTGATACACTGTTTCATGTCTATCAGGAGGAAGCATATGAAGGCAGGCAGAGCTTTTTTTTCCTTGCAACTCCCTCTGTCCTGGCTAACGTGAGACTAGGGAGGTCTTACTGTACTGGATAGATAGGTCATGGGGAAGAATAAATAGAAAATCATAGTTATCTTGGGGTCATATTTTTATATATACATCCTGGAAATTGAAGGTAAATCTCACGTATCCATGAAATTTATATCCCTATTTTAGTAAGTGAAAATTTGACTCTTTTTAAACTGCCTAAGTGACATGGCCTGTTATTATTTACCTGCTGATCAAAAGTGAAGTCTTGGGGTGCCTGGGTGGCTCAGTTGGTTAAGCAACTGCCTTTGGTTCAGGTCATGATCCTAGAGTCCTAGGGTCTAGTCCCGCATAGGGCTCCAGCTCTGCGGGGGGTCTGTTTCTCCCTCTGACCTCTCGCCTCTCATGCTCTCTCCTCTCATTCTGTCTCTCAAATAAATAGATAAAATCCTTAAAAAATAAAAAGTGAAGTCTTGTATCACCTCTTGTCGCCACCTGCCTGGCCTGGTAAGATGCCTGTCATGTTGAAAGCAATCGAGAAATGGTCCTGAAAAAATGGAAGATGCAAAGGCAATATCTCTGAGCTTGTCAGAAAGTAGTTTTTATATTTTTATTACTGTAGAAACAAATAGTAATCCTATGAAAGTCTAGATTGTAGAGTCTAGGAAACAACACAAATTGAAAATAAATTTCATTCTAGAAACTATGGCAGTTTAGGGGGTGGGAAGCTCTAATAGTGTGGATAGATAGACTTAGTGGAGTAGGAAGTTGAAATTAACTGTACAGTTCCTTTATAAGCCCTGGGAAAGATGGCAGCTAGTATGATAGATACACAGAACCAGCCTCCTCTACTTGTCATAAACAAAGCAAATGGGAATGCCAACCTTCCCTACCTCCACCCCCACGACTAGCCACCCCCCCCCCCCCCCCCGCAGCATTAATCACATCTCAGACTGCTCTTTCCTTTGTGGATTCCTTTTTTGTTAGAAGTTGCTATTTACAATCAGATTTTCCAAATTTCACCTATAAAACATTGGCCAGGTTTGGGACCAGAGGGTGGTGGTGACTGGAAACTGAAATAGGTAATAGAATAAAATAAACAGGGTGATTTATCCTAGTCCTCCTTTTACATCTGCTGTCAGCTGAGGATGACCCTGAATATAAATTACTTTGTGCCCTTTGCTGAATGAACTGCAATTTAGGAGTAGTGCTTATCCTGGTATCCTTGGAAACTGGAGATAATGATTCTCATTACAGTTAGTTTCTATATTTAACAATGTGAATGTGTGTGGCTCTCTAGGCACTTTTTTGGTTAGCATGATGTTTGCTTAGTGGTTGTATTTTATGAAATTATAAAGTCATATCTCTTCTTGGAATATGTGTATATAAAAATATATGGGATATACATATATGTTGTATGAGAGTCACGTGTTTTGGTTAAGTTTCTTTCCAGTCTACCAAAGAAAATATGGAGGAGTTCTGCTAATACTTGTGAATAGTCAGAACATAATATAGTTTGTTGATTAACTATGATTTTTTAATTCATATTATTTGTCCCTCCTGCCTTCCCTCTCTTTCCTCCTGCTCTCTCCACCCAGCTTCTTTTGTGTCTCATCTGTCTTTTCACCCCTTTAGTTCATTTGAATTAGATAAGTTCAAAGGGTAAAATTTGTCAGGTGGTGCTTTGGGATGCTGAATTGGAATAAGGCCAGTCTGCAGTCTCAGCTGTGGTTGGTTCAGTGGACATATTAAACATGGTTTATAGGTTTTACAAACTCATTAATGGCAGTTACCTTGTTAACTTTGCTTGTTGAAGAAGTAACTGAAGTTTTCCCTTTTAAGTGCTAATATTCAAAGTTGTTTTAACTATTTTTCTACCTTTTTATTTTGTTATCATTTCAAATTTAAAAGTTTCAAGAACAGTACAATAAACCTCCACATAGCCTCATTTTACCATTTTGGCTTGTGTGGCTCCAAACCATATTACTTCTCTGCCCTCACTTTAAGCAGGTGCCACAAAACAGTTACTCTCCAGTTGTGTGCTCACATGGTTCTGAGTTTGCTTATGGCTTTACTTAAGTCGTTTGAAGCAACCATGAAGCTTGACAAACTTAGGGATTATCTAGACCAACCCCCACCCGCCTTTGTAGAGGAAGGTAAATGGTCAAGCTCTGTGTCCGTTCTCCAAATTAACCAGAAAAGCCGTGACTTCAGCTGCTGTGGTACAAATGTTAAAACGTCTGTCCCCCTTTCCCTTCAGTGTCCTCCCCCAGCTCTCTCTAGTCCACTGGGATTATTTAGCAAGTCTATTAAATTTTGTTGTTGCCGAGTATGGATTGACATAGCACTGAAAGTGAGGCAACAGCCTTTACAAAATGATTTCAGAGTTTTAGAATGATTTATAGTCTGGGCCACATAGTTACCACCACTCAACTTTGCTGCTGTAGCAAAAAGGCAGTGATGGATAGTGCCTTAACAGGTGGGTGTGGCGGGATTCCAAAGAAAGTTTATTTACAAAAATAGTGGGCAGGCCTGACTTGGCCCTTAGGCAGTAGATTGCTGACTCGGGAGTATGTTAAGAAGTGAGCCCCTTAGAATATTGGGTGTATACGCACAGGTTTGCAAATCTTTATTAACAAACAATCCTCAGAAATGATTGCCGCCTCTTATATTACACAGTGATTTTTGAAGATGTTTAAGAGCTAAATGAGCTAGTGTACGTACTTCGAGATCAATTTGGGAGAGATACAGTTATTTTTTCCTTCTTTTAAAGAGACATAAGGATAGAATATGTAACATTTCATACTAGGATACTGTTAAGCAATTGATCCACCATTAATTCAAGGTCATTGCAGGTTCAAGGATGGAGACTGAACAGGGCTCTAAATTAACTTCCATCACAAATTGAATTTGAACTAGACAGAGATGGAAGTGTGTTCTTGTTATTGGTAAACTATCATTTAAAAAAATTTCCAGGAAATTAAAGCTTCTTTTGAAAAAACTGCAGACAGATGATCTTGGGAATACAAGTGTTACTATCCATAATAGTTAAAATAATTTTAAATGACATAGAAGGTACATACATAGAAAACTGATATAAATGTTTAATGCCTAAATGACTAAGAAATCATTTCTTGCTGAAAATAATGATGCAAAATATATCAGTTCTGGACTTTTTGACATTCTCAAATATTTTGAAGATATTAAATTATATGAAAGAGGGATAAAAACTCAACATTTCATCA